AGATGTAACATTGGCAATGGTTGAAAACATCGTTTACACCTAAAAAAGGCACTTCCATGTATGCTTTGTGAATGAAAGAAAGGCATACAAACGGTGACCTTACACATGGGTTGCCTCCCAATGATGACACGTCCGTGCGGTACCTTTTTAATTTCCAATGTATCATAATGACAAAGGAATATGAGTAGTAAGGCATCTACATGATTTACAAGAGGGAATCCATACACTCGTGTAGGTGTGAAGCTTGCATAATGGCAAGAAAGAAAAGAGTGAGACACGACCGGTAGCATTTGACATGATTTATGCAACAAAGACATATGGTTACGTGTCGTAAGCTTCTCTCCATCTGCAACCTCAAACTCTCATTTGACTATTGAAATTCTAAATTTTTTTTTACCTTTACCTTTTAATTTATTTTGATCAGTTATGTTGCATATTGAAGATAATATCCAATTCAAGTGCGGGGGTGTATTTAGCATTTAGGTTTTTATTATTTTTGTGATTATCCCTATAAAAAAAGGAAATAAATGCCATGTTTAGTATGATATTCTTTTTTATTGATGTTTAATGTAGAATTTGATAAAATTTGATGCGATGAATAAAAATGTTTAGGCTATTATTATTGTAGATATGCATGCATGCTAAAAAGATTTATATGTCTTCATGATGAAATATAATTTAGGTAAAAATATTAACTTTAAAAGTAAAGAAAACCTTTTAGAAACTAGACCTAACCACGGCTTAAATAAATGAGATTTTTTAATTTTTATTTGAGAAAGAAATTTGAAAAAGCATTCCATTAGAAAAATTTAGCCTAAGTAATTAAAAATTATACTATAATGATTTGAGTTACTTATTAACTAGAAGTATTCAAACAAATATTTACTTTTACATCAAAAGGTAATTTGAATTATGAAAATGCAAAGCAATCTAGGTTGATGACTTGCTAAGTAATCGATTGCCTTCATCACAAATATAGGTAGTCGTGTCAAAAGGCAAATGATCATTTAAGGAAAAACTATTAAAGACATGAAATGAAAAAGAATTTGGGATGTTTAAAAAGAAAAAAATGATTAAAGAAAATCTCAATTTATTGTTTTACTTGTAATAGTGGAAAAAGGATAAAGGTAGAGTTGGTATTGCATGCATGAATTATGTTTGGTTATGAAGATGCATAAATCGATATGATAATAATATCTTAAACATGATCAAGTTGATCATTGAACTTTGTTAAATTCTGAATTGAGCATCAATGTTTGAAGAACAATCATACTGACATGACATTTGTTTGGATGATTTTGTAGGTTTATTATATGAAAAAATTCTCACGAGACACAACTCGTCCACTAGGGTTACCTAGGGTTTTAAAGCCTTATTGAATATGCTAAATACAACTCGTGATTCCTACAAAAGTGAGTTAAGTTTTTATCTTGTTTGTTTGCTTGAGCACTAGCAAAGTTTAAGTGTTGGGGTATTTAATGAGTGTATAATTAGCATGATTTTTATACTCTATTACATTGAATTTTTTTGTATTCATTGTATTATATTATGTTATTTAAAAATAAGATGATGGTTTTAGGTTTTGTAGAAAAAACGATGAATCGAGGCAAGGAAATCCAAAAATAAAACAAAGAAGAGAGAAAACTTCAAAGAGGCTTAGGAGACTCACACGGTCGTGTGAAATTATAAAGGAAAAGGCTACTGGCCATGTGACATGAAGGAGGAAACCGTATGGATTACTCAGCAATACAAGCCACATGGTAAGTAGCATTCCACATGACCAAAGGAAAAAATCCCACATAATCGTGTGGGTGTCTCATCCTAACAAAGCCTAAGAGAAAAGAAACCCACACAAGAAGTAGACATTGCACATGATTTACGGTGCAAAGTCACACATTTATTTCTCATAAGTAAAACAAGTCTACACGAGCGAAGAGATTCAACATAGCTTAAAGTGTAAATTCCACATGGGTAGAAGTTAGACACATAGAATGAAGAACAAAGGCGTACAATAGTGTGTCCTAGTTAGCAACCATGTAACACTTATTCTTCAAGGCTCTAAACATATTAAACAATAAATTGTGTAACTTATTTTGTTAAATAGTGTTGCCATATAGGGCCGACAACTATATGATGAAACCCTAGTTTTAGGTATAAATAGTAAACTAGGGCATTATTTTAAGATTTTCATCTTTTGCCGACCACCATCTATAGAAAACTCTCTCTTTGTAATCTATTATGAGCAACTAAACTCTATTATTGGTTGAATCAAGTTGAAGCTTTTAGTTGAATCGCTTTTAGATTATGGGTTTTATTTCTAAACTTATCTTGATTGGGTATTTCATATATTTTTTTACATGATTGGGTTATAGTTATGTGATTAGATTGATTAAAATGCATGCTAATTGTTTGATCATATTAACTTATTACTAGCTAAGTATTCAAGTCTATGTAATTGCTTGTCTAACCTTTCCATGGTAATAATTGGGGGTTTAAGATTATTTTTCATGTTTTCATTCAATTCCTTAGAAAACATAAAACTAGGTTACATCTTCTCTAGCGCTTAGAAAGGTGGCTTAGCTTCACTGTCTTTTTTTGATTAATACTGTTATTGGATTAAATATATCTAGTGCTTAGTAGGTTGTTCAATAGTTAGGGAATTAATAGGGTATCATATATTCGATTAACGACTAAGAAAAGCAAGACCGAGGATTACATACATGTTATTATCTTACGGTGAATATTCATGTTAAGGATAATTTAATCATTTAATCAATGATAAGGGACCAAATCAAGAGTGGATACTGAAATTCAACCAAGGTTTCTCTTAATATTGTTATTTTACTTTACTTTATTTGTTTTCAAGTACTTTAAACACAAAACCCCCCTTTACACTACAAGAACACTTTACCAAAAGGAATGGTTGATTTAGCTTTTTTTCTATGGGTTTGACCCTTGTCCGCTCTAACCACGGTCTTGTGATTGGGTTTAGTAAGGAAAAATATAAATCATCTAATTTATTAGCGGTATGACATGCCATCAATGTTATAACTATCAAATCATATATCATATCTTAAATACTTTAAATCTGTAATAACCAATACTCGTTAAAACTAGAATTTAATTAAAAAATTAATATTAAACACATATGCAAAATGCTTTGAGGGTGAGAAATAATCATTAAAGGTTTAAAAGAATAGGTCATAGTGCCTTGTTAACTTATATTCATTGCACTTCAAATATGGGTTAACGACGATAATATTCTCGACTTATTAGGTCCTAGGTTGAGGGTGTTACAAATTCTAAATCACATCAAACATTAAAATCTAAATACATAATAATAAAATTAAATCAAGTATCTAAATTTACACTTGGAGTGAAACAAACATAACATATCATTAGATAAGATCATCCAAAGGCCACACACCTCGTGAGTAGGTATACCGTGTGGTGGTCGACCCACGGGCTAACATTACACCTCTCTTACTAGTTGAAGCATTTACGTATCGGTGAGCTAATAGGCTACACCCTCTCCCTCCCCTCCTCCGTAGTTAGGTACCCCAAGGTAATCAATCTAATAAAAAATCACATAAACTTATACATATTCCAAAAATATCCAAATCCAATGTATCAAGTACAATTCATGCTCAAAACCAGATTTGATAATGCAATTTAATATCAAATTTTGTACTTATAATTTAAACTCAAATACAAAAATTCATATTAAAAATTATAAATTAAATCCTTACTAAACTTATACGATAAATCAAAATCATGAATCTAAATTAAAATAGTAATTAAAATCTATAAACACAAATCAAACCTAAAATAAAACATTTATTAGCATATAATATCCAACCTTTTCTTTTCTTAATCCATCATAGCGAGGTTGTGGATCTATTTTCTATGTCATTTCATTAATTCTTAGAAGAATTTGTTTTATAGGTGCTATGGGACTTAATGGGGCCATTTTATAAATAATATCTTAGAGATTTTATTGAAGTTGTGCCTTTTTTTTCTTATCAAGAACAATTTGTGATAGAATACATCTTGTTTATCTTTGTGAAATGGATGGAATGGCTACCCTAATGTAAACAATATTCATAACGTTTAGTATCTTATCATTAGCCTCTGTTGCATTGGCATTAGCAATTTTTTTTCTTCTATTCTTTTTTTTGAAATGGTAGTATATTTTTGAAACAATTCCCACTCAAAAATATTTTTTTAATGCTAAAAATACTAATTAATTTTGGAACGGCATTTGGAACGATATTGACTTCTATTTATTTATTATCAATATCATGCTAAATGTTCTATAAATACAAGTTGTCTAATGCTAAGAATTATCTTTTCTCTTCTTTTTTTTTTTAACCATACGAATTATTTTTTTCATTGTTATCCTTCTACATGTAATTAGTATTAGTATTTATCTTAATTTTATTTTCTCATTAGCAAATGACAAGATCGAGGCGATTCTATCTAATTATTTGTATAGCTAAAAATTATAAAATGAAAAATGAAATTGTAATTAGATATGTTTAGCATTTTTTAGAACCATTTAAATCACTCTATTTCTTAAATCTTAAAATTATATGTTTTTTGTTAGATTATTTAAATGCTCTCAATTTTTATTTTCATCATGCCACAAACTTTTATCCAAATCAAATCAATAAAATTTTTATTTTATAGTAAATAGAGTTTCCTCTTATTTTGCTTTTATTTTCTTATCAACCTGACAAGATTTTTTTTTCCAACTCAAAACTAAATGGCCTTTTTTTCTTTTTTTACGAAAATTAAAAAAGGAAAAGAAAAAAAAAGAGAGAGAGAAGGAAAGAAAGAGAGAGAAGAAAAGGTAAAAGAGGAGAACAACACAACCGGCCCAACCTTAAAAGAAAATCAGATGGGCTGGGCCGTAATTCAACGCTGGCTCCCTCATCACTGGAACCAGAAAAACCCTACAAGGAGCAGAAGCAAGAGAAAAACGAAAACAAAGAAAAGAAATGCAATCTCTATCATCCCTTCGGAGCGCACTTGGCTCTATTTCTGCTTCATTTCCTCTTCGTTCTCATGGACCTCTCAACTCCATCTGCAGACATGCCGCCTCTCCAGGCAAGCTCAAACTCTCTCTCTCTCTCCTCTCCCTCTTCCCTACTAGGTTGCTGACTTTACTTCATTTGAACATATCGTTTGCATAAGTTGATGTAAATTGTGTTTTAATAAAGTATACCTAGAACAAAGTCTTGATGGGTCATACGAAATGATTTCTAAGGTTTCTGATTCAGTTAGTCATTTCTCGATTTTTTCTGATGTGGGTTTCTTATATTTGTTGTTTTATTTGTAAATCTTAAGCTCGAGTTTGTAATTTTGGATGTAAAGTTGGATTTTTTGAGTGATTTGGGTGTGGATGAGCCAATGAGCTGTCTTTAATTTGTCAAGTCGGTGATCCCCATTTGGCATCCATTTGCACTAATTTTTTCATTTTGTTATGCTTTTTAATGTGTTAAATTGCGTATGAAATTGATTTTTTCCCCTCAAACTTGTTCAACTGACACCACAATAGTTGTTTTTGGATACTAAGATGAATAGTCTAGTGAAGGAAACCTAGGAGCTTTAAGGTTGGTGTGGAAGCAACTGCCAATCTCGTAATCGTGGGTGGTTCAACAGAATTACTAACATAGATTCTATGTAGTTGGAGTAATTGTTTGTGAAACCAAAGTAATTTTGAGTCAATTGAAAGAAAGGGATCATGGTTAGTGCTATAAAATGTTACAATGAGGAAGGCAAAAGTCAGCAAGAAAAAATGTTGCGAACAGCCCTTAAATAGTTTAGAAAGATACATATTTATAATTTCACTGCTTTACACGTTTCTAATAATGTTAATAAGTAATTGGAAGCTTGTCCATCATGCAGGTTGTTTAGAGAGTCTTGGAGGTAGTTTTTGGTCTGTTGATAATGTTGCTAGAGGAGAAAGTGCAAGACATATGTCACGGTATTCTGGAAATTCAGGGATGAATTTTGGTTTGTTGGCTTATAAGGAGGATGTCACTGCTCCATATGCTTTGAGTTTTCGAAGTTTCATCCACTCCTCGGGCCAGAAAGACGTTGAAACAGGGAGAGATTCCAACCCCACAGACTTTGCTGTAGGTCAGGAAGCCTTTGAGATGGGGAGAAGTTCCTGGCAGAATTCCAACTTTCAGATGGGGAGAAATTTCCGGCACATGGACTCTGCAGGAGGGAGAAATTCCAGGCCAATGCAGTTTGTGAGGGGAGTATTAGAGCAAGATGATTACCCACTTCCTCGGCACCAACTTGAGCTAAGTGATGATTTTGTGTCCATGAAGCTAACACGTAACAATACCTTTGTTACGGTGACAGATTCCAAGGGAAATAAAAAGAAAAATGTTTCGATGACAGCAGGATGGTTGCAAAAACTGCAAGGGGGTGCAAAACTTGGTAGGTATGCTGCTGAAGCAACTGCAGAACATGTTGGACAAGCAGCAAGACAGCAGGGGTTGACATCATTTGTAATGAGGGTGAATGGTTTAATGTACTTTAGGAGGAAAAGGATAGCAATCATGAGCTTTGCAGAAGGCTATGGTAAGCATGGTCCAAGTCCTATCACACATATTGAAGATACTACTCGACTTCCGCATAATGGATGTCGACTCCCAAGGAAGCGCCGAATTTAGATTACAGCATGCTAGTTATGTTAAATTCTGTTTGAAAAAACAGCCATTAGGGTGGCCCGATTTGCTTGCCGGATGCTTGTTCAATGTTGTTATCATTTTCCCAGTTTAAAAAGGAAGAAAGTTTGCACCATGTTTGTTTTGAGTTAAGAAGCATATTTGTTTTAGACTGTCAAAACTGGAAGTCTGTATTTATCTCTCAATTCCTTATCGTTTTCGGTTTCAAAATTATGGGGTCTGAATCCTGACAGTTATTTGCATGGAATTATTTTAGAAAGGAAAGATTGATCGGTATAACCAAAGTTTCTTTCGAACTATTGAAGTGCAATATATTCTTTCAGTCAACCTTCTTCCCCAGAGGCTTTTAGCAGCTGAACAAGAGAGATTTGAAATATTTGAAGCTGGGACCTGGAAATCTATGAACAATTTAAATGAACTTTTGAAGCTGGGATCTATAAATTAACTAACATGCCCTTTGAAAGTACTTAGTGCCAGCAATTCATGTGGTAATCATTCATTCTCTGTCCAATAATTATGGTCCCAGCACTTACAGCAATTAAAAGAAAGGGGGGAAAAAAAAAGGAACTTCATTTATTTTAAAGTTTGAACAACGAAATAAATTTAAAAATAATACTAATAACTTATTTTTGCTCCAAATTACCATGCAACATTCCTTGAATCTTTCTCCCTATTAATATCTATTTTTTTTTTTTAGGGTAATACTTTCACATATTATTATATAATAAATTAATTTTTCAATCTGTCTTTAAAAAAAAACACGTTTTATATTTTGAACTAGTTTTCAATATATCATTTTAGTTAAAACTTTCAGTCAAATTAAGTTAAATTAAACATATAATTTACACATGATATATGATTTGATAAAATTATTTTTGTTATTTGGTATAAATGATCTATATTTATTAATATAAAGATTAATTTGTGAAAAATTTTAATAAAAACATAGATTAGAAATCAGTTCAAAATATAAAGACAGATTAGGCAAATAAGAGTATTAACCTATTTTTTTATTTATTGAAATTGTAAATTTTTGTTTTGGAAGAGAGGCAAAATAGTGCAACACTTCTTGAATTTTTTCAGGAACATACTAGTAAAGGATGACGTTCTAAATGAGTTTTATGGGTCTGACATATAAATGACCATTCTACATTTGAAAGCTAACCAATAATAACATGTCACATTATAAATTAATTACTGAATATAAAATAGATCCCTCTTGCAATCTCTGCAATATATATATAACATTAATAAAATCTCTGGAGAGAGAAAGTAGGAAGAAAGTTTTAATAAAAAACTTTGAATAAAAATTTCTAATTAGTTGCTGTTGGTTTTCCTCGAACTAATTGAAATTTCACATTGTAAGTTTTAATCTAATGTGCATATTATATATTTTTTGTTGTCAGTAAGACACTAAAAAAGAAAGAAGTTTTCTAATCCTATCATAGGTCTCTTAGATTATTTTAAAATTTATGATTCTACAAGAGTTAAAGTATATATCATTTACACCCTTAATATTTTCAATTAACTCCTTTGTTAATAAAATTATGAAATCATATAATAAAAATTTATGATATTTCTTTAAAAAATAAATAGCAATGAAGAATTTAAATTGAATATCCATATGGAATGTAGAATACATATTTATTATATTCATATTCTTATTTATTTTATTTTTTGTTAGTTTTTCTTTATGAATTTCTTAATTCAATTCCGATCAATAAATAATTCTTTTTTTTTAATTGAGTTAGATGGGTATTTTTGGGTAGATATTAGTAATATAAAATAATAACAATCAATTTTAATTGAGAATTAAGTTGGGTTTTTTTTTTTAAGTCTTAAATGGGATAAAATTTTAAGTATTTCTTACAAGCATAAGATATGATACTATTATCCACACTACATGGATAATCTATTCATTGGCTCTGAGGAGGCTGTCTCGGAATTTTTTTGGGCATAACCTCTGCTGTTGAATTTGACTGACTGGCTGCAGGATTTGCAGGTGTAATGTAGCCAGGAGGAGAAGGATATGCCAAAGGAAGGCAGCGAGGAGGAGGAGGAACAGGATTAGCTGGTGGCAGAAAGGTTGCGAGGAGGAGCAGGATATTTGCAAGGTTGCCAAACATAGCCAGCATCCCTAACAGGCACATACTTTGTATCTTCATCATGGTGGTTTATGTAATCAGCATCATCCATAGCAGTCAGTGTTGAATTTTCCTCGATTCTTTGTCGATTACTGCCATTATTAGCCTTTTTTTTTTTTTTTTCCTTGTAAATCTTGCATAAAACCCAGTCATCCAGCTGCACCGAAAAAACAAAAAGAACAGGAAAAAAATCCAGTTATTAATCGTGTTAACAATAGTTTATACAAAATACCGTGTTGACAACAAGATGGATGAATAAATTTTCACGTACCATCATGTCATCTCTTTTATTTCTGGCTTGACGATTGGCAGCTGGATCATTCACTTTAAACTCTCTGCATTTTCCAGTTGGTTTTTTCACCCTGTGGAGCCTTTCCATTATAGAATTCTAGTGTCTTCCTATGTCCAACAAGAGTGTCCATGTATTTGACTTCCGCGTCTCTTCCGGTGGCTTTCCAGTATCCATTGTCAGAAGCTCGGTCAGGTTGACTTCCATTTCTGTACTTTCTGTACCTTGGTGTGAAAAAGTAGAATTCCTTTTCTCCACAGCACTTGTATTTCTCCATTCCATAGTATTAATATAAACAGCGAAGTTTATTCAAAGCTTTTTTTTCCCCAGAGGAGTTACGAATAGAACAATAAAGTAAAATCAAGTAACTTACTTTTCGTCACCATATATAATTTCCCAGAAATAAAGCTAAGGGAGCAGACAGTACTCAGAAGCCAGTTGCAAATAACCACCTTTGCTCGGATGCTATAGGAAAATTTAATAATGGAAGAGCATATTTTGAAGCAAAATATTGAGCTCGGATTTATCTCAAGAAAAGCTCATTAATGATCCAAATTTCTTCACTAAACAGGACAGTTTTGTTCTACACATTAACCAAAAAATAATAATTACTTTTCGTTCCTGAGTAATTAAATCATACTAAAAATCACCATTGACACTCCACAAGCCAAAAACTTAAAAGATAATCCAAAATTTTTCCCTTAGACATACAAAACAACAGGTTAAAAATAAAAAAAGAAATCAAATTCATGAATGTCTCTTTTTAATTAGCCAATTCTATAGCGAATAACTGCAAAACAAGTACACATGACCTACATTGTCAGTCATTCACAGAGCATCAAACAAAATCTTAAACGATATTCACAACTATATATAAAAAGAGAAAACGAAACAAAAATTCATGCAAGCAATTTTAAGGACTTGAAACCGAGAAAAAAGAAATAGATAATTAAGAAACATTATACACCAACATGCAAGATTATCATAAAACACTTTTAGTTAATCCGATAAAGTAATGGCGTAATCAAAAGAAAAGAAAGGGGTTTCGTATCAAAGAACCTGCAAGATAATCAGGATTGTGTTGATAGAGTACAACATGGACAATCTTGTTTCATGGCAACGGCAGCCCTTTTATCTTTCTCACCAAGAAATGCACCACCAACTCAGCATCACGAGGGCAAAACCTATACCCAGGTGGAAACCTATTGAAATAATCATCAATGCAAGCAGTTATTGTGGTGAAGCAATGGTGGCCAAAGGTGGTGGGGGTGGTGCGGTTTTTGAATTGAGGATGTTGGGTGTTGATGATGGCTTTGAAGAAGCGCTGTTCGATGCTAATGGAGTGTTAACAGAAGCCTTTTGTGGTTGGCGTAGAACTCACAAAAAAACTCCATAGTAGGACTCTGACCCTCAGAAGAATATTTTTCCTGTTAAGAGGACATTGACTCGAGACGTCACTAAATTTGGCTCTTTTAATCTATTTCTGATCTTTGTATGATATTCAGTTTGAGAGCAAAACAAATAACAAAATTAGTATTTGTATTTATATGATATATATGTTATATGTATGAGGAATTTAACGACAAATTAAGTTAGAAGTACTTCTTCTGCAACTAATTACGGAGATTAATGAGGTTGTAGCCAAGCCAAAATTGGGATACCAAATCTACCTCCATGATACCGAGAACAATCATGTACGACGTCTGTTGATCTGGGCCAACATGATTGAAAAAACATGGCCTGTTAATGCTAATTGCAAAGAACATAACCATTCATTCCAAGACCAAGAGGTATGGGAAAGATGAGGGAGAGGAGGAAACAATAAAACTGTCAAACGCAAATTTAAGCTTGTTTCAGGGACAGGAAAAAGGACAGTGCAATACCCATACTAGCATACTTAAAAACAGCATCATAAGGACACTTTCAGTGATATCATATCCATTTTTTACAAATACCCAGCTGAAGAAGGTGCACATTCGAAGCAGTTTCAACCCGCTGACCATGTTTCACCCATGTTGCCTTGTTCTGGGAAGAAATGGACTTCTTATGCATTAGTTAATAAGAACCTGGATATTCTCTCCCAGAGAGAGGACTCCGGGCCACTTCAAAATTTAAATGTAGAACCTAAACAAGATCAAAAGTCCTGCATCACACAAATGCTGTTGAAGAAATTCAAACTATACGGCTCCCTTTCTAAGACAGTTTTACAAGATACGGAAAAACATGATTTGCACCATTTCCTTTCCCAACTCTGCTTATTCTGACTTCTTTCAACCATCATTTTCATCTTCCATGAAATATTGGGCATATATTCCTAAGCATTTTAAAAAACCAATAAGTTTATAGACACAAGCAACCACTTGCTTGTTTCATGAATATCTTTAATGAGCTCAATACTGCAGCACAAGGATCTTGGTCCTGGCAGGTGAGCACTACAATCGTGGGATCCATTCTATGCATGCGTCAAATATTTATTGACTAATCTTCTGAGAAATCAAAACTCTCCTGATTACCTTCATGCAGGTCTGGGAGGTCGCCACTGACAGAGAACTTCATCCACCTCTTTTTCTCAGCGTACTTGAGACAGGGCTGCATCACAAGGCCAATTGCCACAGCAATCAGACTCACGATCATTACTTTGACCGTTGAAAGAGCTAACACAACACAAATCAATATGGTTGGAGGAATACACATAAGAATGGCTCCAATTGTTCCCACAGGTATCTTGTAAGGCCGTGAAGCAGCAGGGCATTTTATCCTTAACCATACAAATGCTATAAATTCCAATATCATTCCAAAGCAATACAAAAAATTCTCTGCAGCTACAATCTCCTGAAAGCTTAGCCACGACAACAAAATCACACCAGATGCAGAAAATAAAATCCCAATCAATGGCGTTCCATGCCGAGACCTCTTAGCAAAGAACTCTGGCAGCATTCCTCGCTCTGCCATCCCCAAAAGCTGGAAAGAGTCGCTGCTCATTTCAGCCACAAACATTCCCATGTTTGACATTGCTGCAGCCCCTTGGATCCACCATCTCAGCCAAACTCCCCCAAGCATTTTAGCAATATCTGAGAAATACCCATCAGTCCAAGAATCACGGTTGAGTGGGATAGCACCAGTGCCAAACAAAAGGGGTAAGAAATAACCAAGAACAACCAAGATCAAAGCATAAAAGAGAGCTTTAGGTAGCGTTTTCTTTGGGTTATGCACCTCTCCAGCAAGAGTACTTATTGAGTCCCAATAGTTTAAATTCCAAAACAGAGTGTTCAGATACAAATTCCAGTCCACATCATGCAAATTCATCACAAACCATCTTGCAGGCTCCAACTTTGGAATTGCCACTAAACCCATAACAACAAAAGGAAGGATTGAAAAGATCCCCAAAAGAACTGCAACCCATCCCACAATAGTTAAACCCCTATAATTCATGTAAGTGAGGATGAACGTCAAAGCCAAAGCTGATATAGTTCTTGGTAAACCGCCAGCCAAAGCTGGGATTCCCGACTTCAAATAGTCAAGAAAAAGAACCGGGTACAGAGCATTATCAATCACCCCGCTCAGCCACTTCATCCATCCTTGCTGGAAACCCCAGTAAGGACCCAACGCAGAAGACACCCAAACAACATAACCTCCATTTTCTGGAAACATGGTACCCATCTCAGCCGTAATCAACGCCTCAGGAACACTCCATATTAACGGGAATACCAAGAAGCCGAGAAGGGCAAGAAGCGGACCAGCTGCATGAACACTATCCTCCACCCCAAACGGTCCACCAGAAACCTCATAGAAGATGAGGAAAATAAGGGGCAAAACTGAAACTTTCTTCAAGTTGTCTAATCTAGGTGAAGAAGGTGCTTCATTGATATCCACATATGCAACACCATTGTACGATCCCATTGCAATTGTAGGTTGCTGCTGATTTGCTGCGTGCCTCAATTTCTGCAGTTAACATCAAGCTTCTAACTTCATTAAAAAAAAATTAGGATCTTTACCAATTTATCAAGTAGCTAATCAAAGCAAAACAAAATAAAGACAAAACTTTACTAATCAACATTAACAGCAGCTATGTAATGGCAAAACATAAGCACAAAGTTTTAAAATTAAGCAATGAAATGAGCATCATTCAAGAAAACACAAAATGGGTTTCCTTAAATGAAATATACCTAATCAAATCCACAGAACCAAACAGAAGAAGAAAAGGAATCTTAACATTTGCAGGCAAACCCAGTTGATAATTAAAAGTTGTAAAGAGAGAGACACGTTAAAGGGAGAAAGAAGAGGAAAAAAATGGAGAAGGGGGGAATAAAAAGCATACCATGAAGAAGGAAGAAACGACATCGCGGGTGAAATAGGGTAGAGAAGCTCCGTAGAACTCAAACCTCAGATTTGTCAAACTGGGTAACGAGGACATTCATGATTCCTTTTCATCGTGGTTTATTTTATTTGTTTTTGTTGCTTTTGTTAGTTGGGATTGGGTGCGTCTGTTAATTTGGGCTACTGTGTATTCCCACTTTGTGGTAAATCTTGTGCAATTCCCTTCTACTAATAAATAATAAGTAAAAGAATAAAAAAGATTTGCCCATCATAATCATCCATCTCAAAAAAACAAATTTTAAACATGAAGTGAATATTCATAATTGACACTCATTTCTGAGACAATATAGTTTTAAAATCCTTTTTTTTTTGTGGTATTTGAAATATCTGAAGTAGGAAAAGAGAATGCTTCCACCAACTCATTTGACGGAATACAATTTAGTTTTCTTAATTTTAATTTTTTCTATTGTCTAAAACTTTAATGGTCTTGTTGCTCACCTGCACTATGTATCATTTCTTCAGATTTTAATATAATAAATTCTTTCAGAATCATAAGGAAAGACCGAAAAAAGAATTTTTCAATTCAACTGCTGGATTTAACCGTCGTTACGTTAAAGTTGTAAGAACGGAAAACTAGTGTGACAGGTGAACCAGTTTGTAGCAATTTCAGTGAACGAAAGGATTCAAAGACAAAAAAATTAAAGATTTGGGAACATCCACATCAAAGAAGACACAAGTGCTGTAACTTGTAGTCATAGAATTAGGTTCCCAAAAAAAAAAAAAAAAAAAGAATTGGGTTCCAAACGACACACGTGAAGAAATTCTTTCAACAAAAGGAATTAAAGACAAACCACTAAGCTCTCGATGATGAAACCACGCATTTCTCCGAGTGGAAGAAGTTCACAGGCTGTGGATTCCATGTGGAAACTGGAAAAGTGTTCTTTAAATGTAATTATATTTTATGAAGCACAATCAAGTATTCTTGATCTATTTGGTATTTGTAAAATCTGCCCAGCCAGCGGTTGATCATGAAGCCCGTCTTGGGCTTAATCCGAGTTGGATTAAGAGTTAAATGGTATAGGATATTGATCTGATTGGTTCATTTGGAAGTAAATTATAAATTAATTCTTTTAATTTTGTTAAACAAATTAATTAGTTTTTTAAAAGCTAATTATTTAATTAGTATTGATTACTTTAATTTATTATTATTTTATTTTTTAAAAATATTTTATTCTCTCTTCAATCTTTTCATAATATTTATTTATTTTTTCAAAAAAAAAAAACTAAATTTAAAAATAGTATTAAAAATAAATATAAAAATGATTTTTTTTTACTGTTTCACGTTTCACTGTTTTACTAGAAAAAGAAAAAAAATCTTAATTACCTTTGCATCAATCCAGTAACTTATGGGTCGATCTAGTCATCCAATGATCAGGGTATTTGGCTATATCAAGTTTCAGTTCCAGTTTGACAACCACACATTTTTTCTTACATCCAACGAACCACATATTTAAATGAAATTGTACATATTTAATTATAAACTAATCTGCTTAGCTTTGTAGAATCAATTAAATAATTGTTCTTATTTTAAAGACTGATTAATTAATTTTTTTAGAAGTATTGACTCTTGTTAATTTAATCTTACTTTTTAAAAAAATATTTTTTTTCTTATCAATGTTTTGATATTTTAAATTTTTTTTCATTTTCTCATTAAAATAAAAAATAAATTAAATTTAAAAAATGAAAAGATTAAGTTATAAATACATATAAAAATATAAAAATTAATTAGTTTGTTATTAAACTAGAGACGCTATTTAATTCTTTTTGAAAAACTACAAGAATTAATTTATAATTTACTCTTCCCAAAACTAGAAAAAAGAAATTAACTACAATGGGCAAAGCAAAAGAAAAATATCTTTAATTTTTTAGTTCTTAATAATAAGGATATAATTAAGCTAACTTTCGTGAAATAAGACCTTGTCTCTCTCTTTTGGACTCTTGGATGATATCCGAACAGATATATTTACTATTCAAATTAAGAAAAAAAAATTAAATGAGCCAAATTTCCTCTGAATTCAGTTTTTAAATTTTAAATTTTTTGATTTTACATCTCATGAACCTTTTTTTTTTTAGATTTAATCTTTTTTTAGCTTTTGATAAAAAATAATAGTTATATAAATAACTTTATGATGAAAATTATTCAATGAAATACTGGATTTCCAATCTTAAAAATTATGGAATTTTTTAAAAAATGAATCGAATTTTTCTTAACTATGTGCAAATACTTTTAAAAGAAGAAGTGATAAATGAAAATTATAAAATAGACTAAATTTCAAAAAAAAAAATTAGAAATTTAAATACTGATTTTCAAATAAATTAAATTTAGGATAGGTTAAGCTTAGTTAGAGGGGGAAAAAAAAGTGAAGGAAAAATATCAATGTTTTATTATTATTATTATTACATATAATGAGTTTTCTCCTTGCCTGTGAGTTGTTTCCCCATGGAAAACCAATTAACCATTCGAGGGCCAAAAAAAAAAAAAAAATTCTATTTACAAATCATAATTTGCTATTGTACTTTCAGTAAAGCGTCTCCATCCTCCAATTATTTTTTCGGTCCTCCTTTTGTTATTCTTCGCCATATTTCTTATTCCGAAGAGTGTAGATCAAACAGGAGTAGATGGGGAAGGAGAAATGCGGCGAAAGTGATGTGCGTGCTTTTATGGATTTGGTTGATTTCATTTCAGTCAGAACTATACTTGGCTCAAATCAAATGAGAAGTACAGACTTTATCATCCTCTCAAGGAGCTTAATTCCCATTCTTATGATAAATGTTTTTTCTTCCAGTTCTATGTAACTCAAAAGCTAGTTTCATTTGAAAATTTGCTACTTATCCTCGTCTTCTATTAAACCATTGTTAACCCATTCTTAAGGTATGTATTCATAACAATAAAATTTTAAAATTACATGTTTAGATAAAATCAATCTCCTATGAGGTTGTTTCAAAACAAGAAATTAATAGATTAGTAATGACGAATTCATAATTAAGCTTTTAATTAAGCACTAAATTAGAAATAAGGTTTTGGGGTAAAAAAAACGCTTCTAAATCAACTTACCTCGTCGGCTCCATGGCCATGTGGTGACGATATGTCTGCACCATTCTGGGCAGGACATGGTGGACTGGTTGCAGTGATAATATTGCCGCTGTCACTTGCAGCCTTCCCCATGACTTGTCGATCCTTCTCGGCCACTGCAATCTCCTATGGTTGTGTGCATCTCCCTCTCTTTCACTGTCTTAAAACAGTACTGTCCACAATAAAAAGAAACATAACTGAAATATAACGATGTAATCCGGCAGAGGAAGAGATAGAGAGAAACCTGCATATTCAGTCACAAGGATAAGAAAGAGAGATGTGAATAAAAGAAGGGCCAACTGTTTGACACTTTTAAATTGTTTTAAAATACATCACGAAAATGGTGGTACCAAATGTGGGCATGTCGTATGAGGACAAAGCACAGCATATATCAGGAAAAAGTGCAGGCAACTTATTGGGTTGCTCTCACTTTCTCACTTTAAAAAAGAGCAGGATGACAGGCCATATGCTGGTTTAACTTAATTCTAAGGGTGAATGTCAACGTTGACTGATTTAATTGCTATTTTTTTTTTAGTTTTATTCACATATCCTATCACACATCGGAAATAATAAGATTAATTCTGTTCGGGATAAAATTGACAATGTTTAACTCCTATCAATAGATGAAACTCTAGTTAGAATTTAAATTTTGCAAATTAATATTAAATTCATTTGAGGATTAATTTGTTTATCATTAAGTCAACAACTTGTTGATATTGCTAAAAAATTTTGAATTGATCTTAAATTAAATTTCATTAATTTATAAATCGAATAGGAAAAATAATTAAAAAAGAACGAGAACTATCTCTTTTTCTTTTTCGTGCTGATTAAAAATTCATGAATTTTGTAGATTGAGATCCTATTATATTCAATTATGTTGTCACCTAAATCTAAACTTTAAAATGAATGAATATTATTTTATTACATATTAAAGAAGAAAATAATATAATTAATTAGTTTTTTTATCCATTTAATTTTGCTTGATTTCTTAATTTATTATGAACTCCGTTTCTTGGGTTCTTAAGCTTTGTTTAGAACCTATAATATAATACTTGAATTATTGTGTTTATTTTGCTAAGAATGTGCATGCTATGTTTTGTGCTTATACCGATAATTGTTTATTTTCAAACTAATATTGCTAAGTGTCGAGTGTAAAAGTGAATTAATTGACGGGTGTTTAATGTCGTGTTCATGTAAGTCCTAGAGGTTCTAGGGGTTTTGGGGTATTACAACATTTTTTGCCTCTAAAGTATTGCATTTTAACAATTTTGGACCTAAAGTATCAAATTGCATAATTTGAACCCCAAAGTATTAGAAATTGAGCAAGTTTGATCCAAATTGCCCAATCGCTATTATTTTTAAAATTCAATTGACAATTGACCGTTACTTTTTTTTTTTTAATTAAAGTTTGAATTTTTGGGTTTAGAGATGAATTTTTGGGTTTTAAAACCCGGTGTTGATCCCCAAATCCATAAATTCAAGAACAAAACCTAGAATTTCAAGTAGAAATTCGAAATCCATCCACTAACCTAGAAAATAACTTATTTTCTATACAATAACCACACCGAAAGTATTTCCTCCTCTACGTACCTTGGTTGACCCAAATAAAATCACCAAGCAAGTTACGTTACAACTTTGTATTAATCAATATGGAGCTAATAGAAGCAACACCGATAATATATATGTTAGTTCTAGTGTAGCAACAACAACAAGAAGCTCATATCAAAATCATAGTCATCATCTACCGCAGACATCGGTCTTACGATGATGTTATATATATATAGAAGCTCATATCAAAATCATAGTCATCATCTACCGCATCATCGACCTTACGATGATGTTATATATATATATATATATATATATATATATATTAGTTCTAGTGTAGCAACAACAACAAGAAGCTCATATCAAAATCATAGTCATCATCTACCGCAAGCATCGGCCTTACGATGATGTTAGTT